TAGTGAATGTCTCCATTCGAACTATTCATTGCGTAGTTGCTTGGGAAAGCGAAATCCCGGAGGATTTGGAGCAGACAGTGCTCACGCAACACGAGATTCAAGCTAATTGCTGTCTCGACCTGATTTATAGCCTCTTCAGAATGCCAATATTCCAAATTTCAGGGTCAATATCCATTTTTCAATCTCCAACAGTCAACTCGCAATTAAAATCAGTGAAAAACGTACTCCACGCTTACGAATTCCTAGATTCGTAGTGATATTGATTCTCTTGCGGATGGCGTTCTAAAATATACATTTGATTTGCGTCATTCATTCAAAAACGATACCTTGACAAGCTTGTTGACTAGTTTCTTGGTGGCCACGGCGCTCAATCCAGCTGCAGCCATCGGCTTTCCGCGTGAACCAAGAGCTTGTCTTTTGGCGCCAACTCCACGAGCAGCGATGGCTCTCGATCTTTTGAGAACCTTATTCGCCAATGCGATCTTCGCATTTTTGGCTGGCGGACCTTTGCGATTGTTTTTCGCTCCTTGTCCTCCAGTTTTGCCACCAGAACGTGCCTGAAATTATTTATTATAGGTTATTTAGCTTTCGAGAGAACTCTCACCTTGTTATCGTTCGCAGTTTTGTTGGCGTTGTTGGCATCTACAACTTTTTCAGCCTTAATTTTTTTCTGACCATTCTTGATGATATCATCCAAAGTCATATTGATTTTCTCAGCCATTTTTATGTGGAATGAGGAACGTTTGCGAAACTGAAAAATGAATTCGGTCAGTCGATGAAGACAGTTAGGTAAGCGACACTCGAGAACAGTGTAATACAAGATAGGAAAAGGAAGGCACGTGGGCGAGCGGCAGTATGCGAACGGCAGCGAACGATTGCGGAGCGGTTATTGATTGGTGACGCATCGTCAGAATGGACGGCAAAGAAAAAATAAGAATACCTAAAGTTTGATTATCTATCGAACAACTGGAAAGATTTTTCTGAAAAATTACTGAATCTCAATTGTGAGAACAATCACAAAAATATCATAAGTAGTTTAAAAGTGAGCAAAACGTTTTACAACAGAAGACAATGAGAGAGCGAACTGGTTCTGCGCAGATACAAGACAGCTGTCCCATTGTTTGCAGAGTACTTACGCGATGTAAAAAAAGAAAATTCAGTGATCAATACTTTCAGAAATCACTTGCGAAACCAAAAACTATCGAAACGAAACTGATGAAGAAGGAAGTAAAACCGGAATTTCAGAGTAATCTTGAAGTGGGGAATAGAAATGGGCAAAATCTATGATACCATACTAAACTCAGTGATTCTATAATAGTTTTCCATCTGTACATATAAATTGAGCGAGTATTCTGGAAATCGAATAGAAATCAACGGTTTTATTCACATGACACGGAGCCTCAAAATTATTAGTAAAACCCAATAAACGACGACAGCTTGCGTACAGGAGCGCTTGCACACGATTGCACACCGTAGTGAGGCGATAG